TTGAGGATTAGAGCTGAGAGATGGGAGGGGGAGTGACTGTTTGTGAGAATTGTGCCCCCACAAGTAGTTGGTTCTTGTCTTTGATAGATTTTCAGTGTGAGTTCATTCTCGTGCACTGGATTCATTAGGTACAAGGCAGCCTTCTATACCTTCAGTGAATTGAGCGGCATGCTGTTTCAAAAACTAATTTATATATTACAATGCTTACCACTTATCTTATATATTACAGTGCTTACAGTCCCCTCTTTGCAAAGGTACTAAGCAGTGAGGTAGGGAGCAACCAGTCAGGGAGAGCCTGAGGCTGCCCTTATTTGCTTTATTTCCTCACATTTTCTGTGGCACCCTTCAAAAGATATCACGGCATCCTGATTGAGAATCACTGACTTAGAAGAACAAGTTGGTTAAAAAAAAAAAATATGTGAAACTACACCAGACATCTTATTTCCTTATTATCTTCATTCCCACTTTTAAAAGCATGCTTTATAATTTCTTTCTTTCAGTTCTGTATTCCAAAGAACATCAAAACCCCTTTTGCAATGCTGCCATCTCCCACTGCCAAAATATTTCTTTTTTGGTGTTTGTCTCTGAAGATTATTAGTTGAAATAAAAACAAATCCTATTTCAAACAGCATTATATTGGACAGGGTTAATTTCTTATTTACTTGTAATCCCAAGATAACAATTTTGATCTCTGTGTGATATGATTTATTTTGTTTGTCTGTCTTTTAACAGGGAGAGATTAATGGTTGGTTTTTGAAGATATATCATACTGTGTATAGTGCATCTTCAGAAATTGAAAAACAGTGGTAGAAGTTTAAAAATCCCTGTTCCAATTATTAATTTAGACTCTTACAAAATTAATATCTTGTACATGCAAAACAATAAAAAACTAAAAGTCAGATTATATAATGCATATGTTATCTGAGAGACACCTGTCATTCCTGTCACTGGAGCTATTTTTATTTTGTTCATCGTGACTGACAGGGTTAACCACTAAATTTCACTTTGTGTATTTGCTGCGTGAAATTGAATTGCACAGCTGGAGGAGAAAGACACCTCTGTTGAGGGTAAAAAACCTGTGGGCTTGTTTACGAGTGTGCAGGTAGACAGGGAGCTTATATTCAGGGAAGGATTAGAGGCACTCAATTAATATTTGGAAATTTAATGCAGATTTTCAATTCTAGTGATGCATAATAAATGCCAATGACTCATGAATCAAAAAGGCTGATACAATTCAGAGCAACACAGAAATTATTTCCAGAGAGTTCATTATAGGAATATGGAGCTAGTGATGAATATAGTTTCGGAAATCAAATGATAAAATTTACTAGCAGTTAGTTATAAACTGTTCTGTTTTTATAGTGTTGCCCAGTAGCATCTTTAACATACAGAGCTGGCTTGCCAATAAAGCAATGAATTCAAACATAGAGTCGTTGGGCACATCTACACATGCGCTTTAATACTCATTAACCTATTTTAATGCACATTAAAGCATCACTAAAAACCTGTGCTAGAAATAGGCCAATGAGCCTTAAACATCACTTCAAAATCCTGCTCTTTAGTTAATTAAGCACGTTAAAACAGAATAATGCCCATTTTCGTACTACCTCACAATTGAGGTACTAGATTTAATCTGCATTAACTAAAGCGTGTTAATGCACATGTAGACATGCCCATTGTAACTGATCAGTGCAACCTTCGATTAGCTTGTAGCGTGACTGGTCCTCCAGGAAGAGTAAATTCTCATCTTCGTCTTTTAGAAAGCAGACTTAAGACAGAGTATGAAAGACAATGCTACTATATTAGGATTTGCAGGGAATATGATACTACATCCATCCAGGTGTATCTTAAACCAGTTTCACCCATTTTGAAAGCGGTTTATGTACACTGACCTTCTTTTGTGTTATAGATTTGAACTTATACTGGTTTGTGTAATTTCTGTCCCTAGCCCTAAAGGTGATAAGTTACCTTGAGATGATGTTATGTTGCCTGCACAGGCTTAAGAAGATGTCAGTGTGTAGTCTGGCTTCTTTTAGGTTGTATATTTTCCATCAAGCAGCCCATTTTGATATCTTCCATGTTACAGTAGTGTAAGAGTGATGTAGTTATGGTGGTCCAGAAATTATGCGAAAGAAGAATGCCTTCCATTCGAAAGCCTGTCTAAATTTATCCCAAGTACATCAACGGTCCAGTAAAAGTTATCACCCTAAGAAATCCTTGCCTTTTGTACAATTTGTGGACCATCATGGCTTACAACATGACTCTAACACTACCTGCTTGAAAAATCTCTCTTACATTCTAGAGGATGGTTCTATAGGATCAACATAGATCAATATTCTTCTAAAGCAGTGTTGCTCCATAAATTGGCTTGTGTATGATGTAGTGATCTATAAAACTACCTTGGTTGGTTGATTGTTTTTCAACATGATCTTCAGTTCCATTGGTCTAGAAAGCTAGAATCCAGTTGTCCCCAGCCCCTTTTTCTTCTGTGCCAAAGCATGAGACATTGCTACAAACTCCTGCTGCATCTTGAACAAAATAGGATTGGATTTGCATCACATATTGAAATTGGGCAACAGGTTTTACATATCAGTGTGCTGATCAAAGGATATAGAAGAATTTTTGTGTGCACTGTGATATCATGCTACTGGATTTGAGAGTAATAGCATTTCCAACATGAAGAAAATTTCCTCTTTTTGAAGCTTTACAAGAGTCTGTAGTTTAAAATGGTAGGACTTTCTATAATCAGTAGCTCAGCTTTATTAATATTCAGAGTGAGATGGTTTAATATTCCTCTTTTTGGATTTCAGCCAAATAACACTGCAGAGCATGTAAACATAGATATAAAAGTCATCAAGTGCTGAAATAAATCTGGATTTAATTGACAGTAAAGATAACTAAGGTCATGGTGATTTAAAGTAAATATCCAAGTGGAAATTTGTGAAGTAGTGAGTCTGGAACCTGGAAGTCACCTCTACCTGAAAACAAAAAACCTGTTATAACACGGAAACATGAAGCATGGACTGAATCCCCAATTTTACCACTCGGCAATTATTTACTGCTTTTGAAGACAGTGCAGCATGTAAATTAATAAATTCCACATTCCTGAGAGGCATTGGGACTACAGCAGAATGATTTTTTTTCTGCTGCCAGAGTTATACCAGCTTTGATAAATGATGATTTCTGCCAATGAAGCTGTATCTAAACAAGGGGTTTTGCTAGCAAAATTATGCCAGCTATGGAAACATGACCTTTTTCACACCCTTAGCCAATACAGATATGCCTTGCGAGCAGAACTTTGTAATGTAGGCAAAGCCTTACACAGAGATGAGGGACTGTTTTAAATCCTATTGACTTAAGTCTACAGAACTTGACAGAAATGTGTGTTAATCGTCACACGGGTGTACAGTTTTATACATTAGACAAACAAAGCTAGACAAATAAATATTAAGGAGCAGCAGGAAATTCTCAAGAAATTACTGTCAGGTAAGCCTTCAGTATGTCAAAAGTCTTTACCCGATCAAGAGTGAAATTTGTCCTCTGACTGCTTTGTACAACCTGCAAAATAAGCCTGTTAAATACCTTATTTATGCAGTCAGCTGTCAAAAGGACTTTGTGTGGGGAGGGCGTGGGGTTCTAACAGAACCAAGAGCAGCTTTCTCAGTGTCCCAAGGGTTTGATGGCTTATTGATTTCTTTGGTCAATATGGGACTCAAATCTGAGAAGCTCCATTTTTTCTTTAGTAACACTAGATTCATAGAAATGTGTATCACTGGCTTATAACTGGGAACTGAAGTAATAATTTTGATCCAACTAAAATAACACAAAAGTAGTTCTTATACTGAGGCGTGTGCATGTGCATGTACATGCATGTATGCACATACCCACATATGCTTTACTCTTGGTTGTTGTTTAATTAAGATTCTTTCAAAATAACTACTTTTACATAGGTTTTTAAGCCATTTTAAATAAGTGTCCACTGCACTGTTTCAGGAGTTATCAAAAACCTGTAATCTGAACTGAACATCAAAATCACCAGATTTAATTCTGCTTTCTTGAGAGCTAGAAGGTAGAGGGAGATGTCTCATTCTCAACAGAGGCGAAAAGAGCAAATTTTGTTAGTCATAAAGCTACTGTTCGTTTAAGATGCCCCTGATGTAAAATAAAGTTGTTTGGAAAAAAATATTGTTACAGTAATTTTAGATGTCATGGTCCAGATCTTACTTGATCTCTTGCATATCTGAGTGAAATCCTATTTAACCTTTCTCAGGTCCCAGAAAAAAAATATGAATCAGCTTTTGTCACTCTTGAACTTAAGACTGAGTTACAAAATGACATCAATGTATTTAGTAGAAATGCTGTAGAAGCTGGCACTGACTCATTTAAATGACTCTAGGGAAGTGGTGAAATAAATAGACAAGGGGAAAAGAATCAATCCAAAAGTAGCAAATCAACAACAATTATTATGTTGTGGTACGTGAATTAAGGCCATTATTCTTGTTTTCACTGTAGTCCCTGAAAGAGAAGATTTTACAAGATGAATTAACAGTTCAGAAGATCACAAATGAGCTTGAAGAAAAAGAGAAGAATATACAGCAGTTAAATAAGACTTTGCTTGAAGTAAGTAAAAACTGAAAAGCCTTTTTCAATATTATTTTAACATGAAAAATATATTACTGCAGGGCCTCAAGGCCTAACTGAAGCCACATTGTGCCTGTTGCTGTAGAAAAGTGGTGCTCAATCTCTCTGGCCTCAGGGACCAAATGAGTGGTGCAAGGCTGGCTGGTTCTGGTGGCAACACAGCTGCATGTTGACGTACTTTGGCTTGTCAGGACCATAACATCTGGACCACAGGGCTCCCCGTGGGTCCAGAAAAATTTGGTGATTGGGGAGCAGTGGTCACATTAATTGCTTTGGCTCTGGCTACCACACCCCTGCCACCAAATTTCTAGACCTGTGGGAAACCCTGCGAACTGGACAGGACATTTCTGTGGTTCAGAGGTTGAGCACCACTGCTGTTAGACATGTAGTAAAGAGATGGTCTCTGACCTGAAGAGCTAATAGTCCAGGTAATGACAAACTGCCAGGATGGAATGAAAGCATGTGGTTGGGAGTTTTAGCCATTCGTACTTGGTGAGAGGTGACCAAAAACTCCTGTGATACGTTTCTTTCTTTTCCCCTCCCCCCCCCCCCCAAAGTCTGAGCAAGACCTGAACCTGTTGGCTAATGGATGTTGGTATTTCTCTGAGTTCATTCATTGTTATTTGTATTGTTTTCCACTTGAAACAGAAGCTTGGTGTTATACAGTGAATATCAGAAATCTTCAGCTTTTGCAACGAATGTTGGCAGGTATAAAGTAAAAAAAATGACATGGCCTTTTTCCTTATTTGTTTTCATAAAGAACCAAAGACTCCTGGAAGAGAACGCCTCTTTGAGGGAGCAGATATGCCATGTGGAAGAGTCCAGACAGCCAGTGTCTGCAAAGATGCCAGTGGCGGATCAGTTGTTCAAGGAAATGTCCCATTGTTTGTTTGACTTGAAAGCACTGTGCAGTATTCTTACCCAGAGAGCTCAGGGCAAGGAGCCTAACCTTTCCTTATTGCTGGGAATCAGATGTAAGTTATATTATCTTGCAGTATTTATATTTTACTTTAAAACAACACAGCCTATAATAAGGGAATCTTATTTGGTCTGATGCAGGCGTATGCCCTCTGCCCCTCTCATGGAAGATGAAATGGCACTCTTCCTGCATTTTTTTTCAAGTAGTTTTGGCTTTGCAATTAGCTCCAAGTTTTAAGTATTGCCTCTAAGTTACTCTGAGGTTGTAGGTATTACATATTTGCATGCTGAGCTTTTAGACTCTGCTACATACCACATGTGGGGCCTCTTGTTGCAAGAATTCCAAAGCTCTTAAAATAAAATCATGAACAGTCCCCACATCTTCCATATTGGCAGTGCTCCCTCATGTGCAGTGAAATTCAGCAGCTGTTCGATTGTTCATAACAACACATACAATAGAGTAGAACAGAAAAGGAAGAACCCGTATCCAGCTGAAACTATTGGGAATTGAGCAAGTCAGTGTGTTTTGCCCAGTCCTTGGGCATTAAATACACCCAGTTTTCTAACCCAGAGAACATGCTTTCAGCCGTGCAGTTTCACTACTAGTGATTAAAGAACGTGTTGCATACAGCTTTTCCACAACCACTTCCTTGTGCGGGGTGGTATTATATTGGGATCTTTTCATTTGATTGATGATGATACTCTGACCTAATTTTAAGAGATCACATCAGTTACAACAGGAGGTGATCTGACAGGAAAGAAGATACTCTAGGATCTTACTAATTTGCATCAGTATTTCACTCTAGTACAGCCACGTTTATGGAGTAATGTGCACACAGCAGAGGAATCGATATGGGTAAAGTCCTAGTCTTTCTCAGCCAGCCCCTTGGAATGTTGGATGGATTTGTATTTGATTGACAAGATTAGATACTCCCTCTTACTTTCCAGCTGGGTCCAGGAAGGACCTGTTCAAATGGCGCAGAGGCAGCCAATGCTCTATAAAGACAATCAGCACTGTTGATTACATGTGCAATCCATAACACGCTTTCAGTCTTAAAACTTAATTTAAACCTGATCTGAATCTCAAGAGTATGCCTTCAAGCCATATGTCAGGAAAGCATTGCAACTAGGGATACCTTTTACAGTTTTGGTGAGCTGTTTGTGACTTCCTCTTTGTCAGTGTACACTGCCATTTTACTTGTGTTGCGTGTTGATCACAACTGACCAAATAGCCCTACCACTAAGCAGACTTCCACTGACAGTGAGAGGTACCAATTATACCTCACTATAGTAGCAAGAACTCCTACACACATCTTGGATTCATTCCATTAGCATCTGATTTGGGATGTCTACGGAGGGGGAATAAACTTTAATTTTACCTTGGGCTGTTTGGGATGACTTTGCTCTCAAGTTGCAGGAACACCATATTCTGCCTTTTGTCCCTTTTCCCAGGCTGACCTGGTCCAGTTTCCCAAGCCCTCCACCTGAGAAAAGTCTGCCACCAGGACTTGGGAAGTTCTGCTACAGCTTTCCCAGTGCCCCTTATCAAGGTGGAATGAAGTAGACTATGAGGATTTCCCATTAATACTTCTTTGAAAGAACTACAGTAAATTCAGAAATTGCTTTGAATTGCACCAAACACTGTTTTGATTTATTCTGGTGTCATTGGATTAAAATCTGGCATGCCCTTTCAGAATTGACTGAGTTTATGCAGGTTTTCACAAATGTCTTGACTATGGAAAGTGCTAACCCTGTGTCCTGTATTTCAACAGCAATGAGCAGTTCGGCTGAAGAGAGTGAGCATTACCACAGTGGAGAAACTCTTTCCAAGAAACTCTTGGATGTGTGTCAGTTACGAAAGGATATTGATGAATTAAGGACAATAATATCAGACCGTTATGCTCAGGACATGGGAGACAACTGCATTACCCAATGATAACATTTTTGCTCTGACAGCAATGACTACATTATTAAATGCTGCTGCATTACAGTTCTTTGCATTTCAATTGAGGAGCCATATTGGAAGATAGCAAGTTGCATATGAGCTGCACATGGGTGTCTTGGAAGTTTTCAGTGGGCTGTGCATATTGAATCTGGGAAGTGGGCAAAATCATTTGAAGAGAGTGGTACAGACTAGAAGAACGTCTTGTTTTCTCCAAACTACTGAACGTAGGACCAAGCTGTGAAGAACGTTCCTATTATAGAGATGTAAAATTTTGTTTCCTCTCTCATGGCTTATTATAATTACTTCATGTGGTTATATTGTTTTCTGGAGTCAAAGCAAAGTGTTGGAAAAAGGCACTGTTACTACTGTACTCACAGTTACACAATAGAGATCTGAACTCCGCTGTTGTATTGAAAGGTGGGCGTGACGGGGTCAGGCACCCGTAGGTATAGAAATATGGGTGGTGGAGCCAGATCATTCTGCAAAAGTCATTGTGATGGAAACTGCACTTGAGATGGTTGTAGAAAGCAGTCACTCTCCGTAGTGCTCTTTGACCCCGGGCGATTTTCAGTAACTGATCACTAATGTTCATTTGCAATTGATTGGTTCCCTCCACCCTAAGCATATGAATAGAGAAGTTTAAAATATCTATAGGTGCATGTAGGTTAATCATAAGCTGATATCAAACCTTTTTTATGCACCCATTCTTTAAACAAGGTGTTTAACTATATGACAGCTGGGACGCACCCTCACAAACACCAGGACGTGTAAAATTTAAGACTAGCACTCCCTCAGAAACGGTAACACTGGAGACATTTTAAATCACCTCCATTTTAAATGTGTACAGCCTGCACATCAAGGGCCCAGTTCTACACAGTTCCTCCACCATTTACTTGAAAGGAAGAGCTGTAGGGGTTTTGGCCTCTTGCACGATCAAGGCCCAATCCTGTCAGTGCTGCACAAACTCAGAATGTTATGTGAAGACTGTAGCATTTTGCATGCTCTTTGGGGTCCTAGATTCCTCTAGTCCTGCAGAGAAGGATTTTTTTATTTTTTTTATTTTTTTTTTAAAGGAGAGAGATATGGGAACCCAAAGATATTCTTTGAGTTTTAATCTGCAGTCAGGAGAGCCCCTCTGCAAGCCTGAAGGAATGTAGTGCTCTCTCTGAGCAGAACTTAGCCTGGCAACTGCATTCACTTGTTTTTCAGGGGGGAAAAACCACAGCAAATGAGTTCTCATTTCCATGCTGAGCTGGCTCTTACACTGTATCATTATTAAATATTGAGTTGATTCTCAACAATTAAGATAATTAAAAATGAAAAGGTTTTGAGAGTAAATAATATGCAGCATGTTTGTGTAATTATAACAGCTGATAGGACAGTGCTTGATAACCTCAGTTGCTGTGACTGAGAGCGCAGATCTATGATAAAGCAGTTGCAGTCTTAAGTTTCTTTAACATCAAAATTGTTATTTTTAGACAGCAAGAAATAGCCCATGGATAATCTGGCAGTTTTGACTTTGAAATTGTCAGTCTTTTGCTTGGTGTTTCAAAATAGTTTTAAAAAAATGTAGTAGTTTAAAAAATTCTGGCCAATCTTTTCTAACTACTACATAATTTTATTTATTTAGCAGTTTTTTTTCTTGATACCTGTACCTACACCCAACCCAGGTCTCTGAAAATCCATTTAGTATTTATATTAATGCTTCACAGTATTTTTTTTTTTTAAAGAGATCATTTACTCAGACTGAAGCAGCTTTGTTGTGAGCGTTAAGAAGTATCACAAATTGGTCCTTCCATCCTTACTATTGAAACCACATCTAGTCATTACATTAAAGATAGCTTTTTTTTTTTTTTTTAGCCCAAAACTATGTTTCAGTCGAGAACTTGGTTTTTAGGGCCATTTCCTTTAAATACCTAGAAATTCTGATTTATAATGGAACTATTGTGGCAACTTTAAAAGGGGACTTTTCACACTAGGGCAGAACTGCAACTAAGCATATTTGCACAAAAAGGGTCACATAAATTACTTTACTTGTAGCATAGGGCTTGCTGTTACTGTTTCTGTAAACAAGAAAAATCAAAACCCATAAGTGGGAAATGTATTCCAGGTCTGAATTTTGTGTGTGTGTGTGTGTGTGTGTGTGTGTGGGAGAGGGGGAGAAAAAAGGAGGAATTTCTCTTGGATTATATATTTTTCTCTACCAGTGACTTGCTCTGTAATGTTCAGAGGTTATTTAATCTCTCTGCTTCCATTTTTCCCATCTCTGAAATACGGGTGGTGCACTCGGAAGTTGTGATTAATTAAGTAATAGTTGGAAAACACCTTGAGCTTTTTGGACAGTAGGTGCCTATACACTTCCAAAGTATGTGTAGGTTCTCCCAGTCTGAAAGTCCCTTTTTAGTTGTAATTTTTTGAATGGTGATGCTCTAATTAGCAATTTCTATTACAGCACCTCTAGTATTTATGTTTAAACATAGAGCACTTGATATTTAAAGTAACACTGAGTTTATCTGCCTCAGTTAAATTAAAGCAGGGAGAGAAATGACAGATGTATGAGCCAAAGATGCAGATTAGCAGTGCAGTTAGAATTAAGTGACCACAGATACAGTATTTTTTTTTCTTCATGATTTCTTAAAATTGGACCTGCTGTTATAGTAGCTCTTGATATATGCATCAGTTTACAAATGTCTCTAAATGGAATAAGCTTTGTCTAAGTAAGATATGCATGGTTGTTTAACTGGTTAAAAGTAGTGCGTGTGGTCCCATTCAACATATTTAATATGATATGGTTAATTAATGAATGTTAACATTGGCATTGCTTAGTAAACTGATTTAGTCATGACAACTTTTTGCTGTAGCTGTTAGAGACAATCTCAAGGGCTGAAAAACTGAATGGATAGTCCCATTAGTGGACTAACAGAATCATGTACAGTAACTTTTGTATAGTTTCAGGTGTAAGTTATACAGTCCTTTTGGTGATATTTACAGTAATAACTACTGTATTCAAGAATGTATTTTAAAAATGGCTTGGAGAGTATTGTCTCTGGGCAAGCTATACATGATGCTATGTAATTGCTATATAGAGTAGTTGAGCTGAATTATGTAAACCTGACTTAGGACCTTGTTACACGTCAGGTTGTGAGCCCCACAGATGTTGACTGACTAACTTGGAGTTTGGAGCAGTCATACCCTTAGTCTAGAAACCTTGTCTCGCTGTCCCGCATCTGCACAGCTGTGACTTGCCACTAGACGGCTGGTGAGCAGAAGCAAGACTGGGAGCTGCAGCTGTGAGTTGCCACTAGAGGGCTCGTGAACCAAGACAGGCTTCTATGGGCAGGGGTGTAAGAGATCCTGGGATACTGGAGGACTTCAACTTGGGCAGCATATCTGTGGGAAGTGGCCACACGGTAATGGAACAGGAGCTGGGTAGTGCAGATCAGAAATAATCCTGCCTAAAGGGGTGTCACTTTGAGCCACATAATGAGCACTTAAAACCACTTTAAGGTGTTAATGTGCAGACAATCCAGGGGTTAGGAGTTCCAGGAGCTGCCCAAAATTACTGTGTAACAAGGCCCTTTGATTCTTAGCTTTCGTTGTGTGGGTTTCTAGTGCGTAATCTTGTAATTTATTTAGGTTGCTATAACCATTCAAAACTGCCAGTAGAGCCAAAGTGGTTTTTTGCCCTGATCATTTATTCAAGCTTCTATCCACTCTCCCACAGCTACGTAATGCCACATGCAGTATTCTTCAATGAAATCATAAGGGTCCAGTTATGTCAATGACTATGTGGCTACAGTGGACAGCCAGGATTTAACTGGAGGTAGAATTTGGCTCTTTGGATTGAATTGAGAAATCAAGTTTTCCAATGAGGGGGTAAAAAGCTCTCTCCCTTAAGCTAATCAGCATTTTAAAATTTGAAAACAGGTCAGTGTATTTTAAAGATTATCTAAACAGACTATCTTATATCAAGAGTTCATTAGCAATAGCAGTTCCACTGCTGCACACCTTTGTGCCTTTTTTTTGCCCGCAGTAAATGTATATTCCCTAAACAACTTTAGATGCAAGAATGTCCATTTATGATTGCACCTTGTTTCCCCTAACTACAGATCTTCTGTTCTTAGGTTTTTATAGTAAAGACCCTCCTACATAATATCTAGAAATAATCTCTAAGTACTGTAGGTACTAGGTATAAACTTTGGAAGTTAGTCTGCTTTTAGTAATCTCAGATTTTATGTACATGAAAAGTGAGCTGGAGACTCAATCAGAAAATGTTTGTTGTATATCTGTTAACTACAGGATATCATTTGGTGAGCATTGGAGAGGAGGGTCTAGCGCTACCTTTTAAAAGCACAGCTGACCTATGTACTGGATCAGTCCTTATAAAGACTGGTAGTTTTGTAAATTGGGTTCAATTTTCGAACCACTTAGAATACCTCACATGTAAATAGAGTTGTCATGACTTAATCTGAATGTGTTCAGTGTAAAGGAGCTAAGGAGCCACTGGCTGGCTTGACTTTAGCCTGTTGTTCTTGCCTCTTTTTGTAATTTTTTTTAAAGTAGGGTTTACAGCTAGAATTTTGAATGCCAAAGTTCTATTTATTAAATAATAAAGTTTTCCTTGTTACTGGCTAGTATTTTTCCACTGGAAGTTTGTTTGATGTTTGGGATTTGTATCTACAGAGCAGAAATAAATTTTGTTACAAAATGAGGTGGTTTTTTTTATCCTTGTTTGTATGTGGTCATAACCAGTGTGGATTGAGGTCGCCTTACACTTAACACTGTAGAAACAAGGAGACGGGTGTGGTCTCTCCCCCAAAAAGGACAAAAGCAGGCAACACCTTGTGGAGATGGAGTGGGGTGGGGAAGGGAAGATGTGTAATGCAAGCAAATGGGAGTGGAGGTAAGAGGGTAATTCCTTAAATTCCTTCCTATACTCTACCTAAATACTGTCATCCTGGTACCAATTCTCTAAACTTTTTGCTTCGTGTTTAATTCTTTGTACAGTTGATGCCTTAATAGCAGTACATCAGTGCCCTGGTACTATGCTGCTCTTAAAAGGCTGTTTTTTTATAAGGAAATATCATCCAAATATTCAGTAGGGGAAACTTTCCAAGGAATAAGTGATGGTTGCTCTTAAAGAAGTATCACCTGTGGTGATTTGTTGCTAGGCAATAGGAAACAGACTGTTGTGCTATTAATAAATTATTTGTTGCTTCATTAGGAAGAGAACACTGAGCCCCACAGATGTATGGTAAAATCTCTGGGTAAAAGTAGAGATACCTGTTCACAGACTTCAGAAAGAAGTGCTTAGATAAATACAGGAAAATTACTCACTGGTAATTCTCTGAGAATCCTCTTTCTTCACCGTGTAACAAAAGCTCTCTAAACATAATATTGATTCCCTTGTCTGGAAGCAAGGAAGCAAAATAGTTGTCAATCAAAGCCAGTAATTAAGAGCCTGTGCTCATAGTTAAATGCTAGGAGAGCAAAAAAAAATATGCAAAGCAGCACTTGCAGACAGCTGGTGAGGGAGGGACCTGCCAGGAAAACTAGACATGATCCAAAGACCACTTTTTAGTTTTCCCTGGTGATGCTTTCCTTACATCCTACAGCACCTGGCCAATCAGCAGATGAGTAGTAATCTAGCAGGAGGCCTTCAGTGTCTCATGGAGCATCTTCTGGCCACAGGAAGGCTGAGGATCTCAAATGTGTCAGAAGTTTAGCCCTTACTGCAGCCTGCAAATAAAGAAAATGTTACATTGTACATAAAACTGACTATATGCAAGCAATCAAGTCCTACAGAAACATAGAGCAGCAGCAGGATTCAACTGAGTGACTAGCTTTAGGCTTTTATTAGACCAACTAAATAGGTGGGAAAAAGTTCTTTGCAAACTTTCAGGCGCAAAGGCTAGGGGCAGACATTCAAAAAGGCTGAGCTTGAATTGATTCAATCTTTGCAGGTTAGTCTAACCTGGCTAGGCTGAACCAGTTTGTAACTGTACAGACATCCCCTCTGGACTGAAGAAATGCCAGCACATGCCTGCAGTGGCTCAGGCTAGAAGCTGGTGGGGTGCTGGAGTAGCCCTCCTTTCCCTTCTACAGTACTGAGCTGCAGGGAGAGGAATGGCCAGGCCCCTGCAGGACACTTTTGATTAGGGAGGGGTTCCCTTCCACCCCTGACCAGCAAGGGAGCCAGAAGGGAGTTGAGTTACATAGCAGGGAGTTGTTAGTTTTATCAGCCCATCAAACAAAACAAAAGCCTCTCTTATTAGTTCAAGCTCTTCTTAAACAACTTTTTCCAAGGAAGGAACTGATCTTCCACCAACAGCTGTCTTGGTTCTATCGGAAATTTTGAGACCCACCACAAAGAAAAGAGATGAGAAGAGCGGGGAGAGAGGAGAATGAGGCATAAATGGAAATAATCTGGGGATAGGGGCAAGGAGAAAGGGGATTACAAGGTTAGTCTGTCCAGAGAAATATTACATTGGCCAGTTGTACATTCAAAAATAATTCCTAGATACACATTCCTTCTTGGTTAGACTGGAGAAGGACATCTTGGAAGTCCTCAAATTCACGATGCATCAAATCAGAGAATTAATCAACAGAAGATGTTTTCCCCATTTCACATTAATTAATAACCTCCAGTACAGCAATTTTTAATACCACATGAGGGCAGAAGATAGGCCAAGAGGACTGAGGAAGTTTAAATGAAAATTACTTGTCCCCAAGAGCAAAATGAATTCAATATTTACATTAGTTCTCTGAGCAAATTCCTGTCCAAACTGTCCCTGAAGTTTTGATTCATACCAAGCACTGGGCACTCTACAATCTGCCAGTTCTCTCTTTGCTGCACCTAGCATAGAAATGAGCTATTGTCTTGTAGCCTTTTAAGTAGGTGCCAGGGCAGGGGCAGGAATTCCTCTACCTGTGAAGCAGGGACATGAGGGTCAGTAGGGGTCGGAGGGAATAACTTGCCAAAGGTAAAGCGGGGATGAGGACATTGTCAACAACCTGCCACTGCAATCATAGGAAGTAGTTTCATAGTTTCATAGTTTTAGGGTCGGAAGGGACCTAATAGATCTTCTAGCCCGACCCCCCGCCAGGGCGGGAGAACAACAAAAAACCCTAAAAACAAAAACGGGACTCAAATGAGTCCAGCCAGGTAGGCATCCAGCCTCTTCTTAAAGATCCCCAGGGTAGGGGCCAGCACCACCTCCCTTGGAAGTTGGTTCCAGCTCCTAGCCGCCCTAACTGTGAAGTAGTTTTTTCGGATGTCCAATCTGTACCTCCTCTCCATCAACTTGTGCCCATTACTCCTTGTTATGCCAGCGGGGGCTAGGGGAAACAGCGTCTCCCCCAAACCCTTCTGGTTCCCCCTAGTGAGTTTATAGACGGTCACCAGGTCCCCCCTCAGCCTTCTCTTGTGGTAGTTATTAAAATATGCTCAAGAGATCCAAGAAAGAAAGTCATGTCCCCTGCTGCAGAGGAAGGCAAAAATCCCCACAGATGATACCAATCTGGCTGTAGGGTAAAATTCATCCCCCACCCTAGATCCTAAATGTGGCTACCAGTCTGACCCTGAGTGGAGGAGAAAGACCCTGCCCTTCCACCCTCTCCCCACCAAATAAAAGACCAGGGATGTCTGGGGTGTTTTAAGTGCCAGCAGGGCAACCAGCACAATCCAGTTAAAATTTTTAGGCTCTGTGACAACCAATAACCAAGGTTTCTGAGGAAGGCAAAAAAAAAATCCCCTAAAAAACAGCCATGGCACCTGAAGGCACAGGAGGGGGAGAAAATTCCTTCCCACTCCTCTGTGATGACCAGCAAAGCCTGGAAGCATGGGAAACCAAGCACTCTCCACTCTGCCCTGCAAACCCAGCTCCACATAACACATACCCTTGCTGGAGAGCCAGAACTCCCTTTTCCATCCCCTCCATAAACCTGACCCTTTAACTTAACCTTTAATCTTTCATAACCAAGCCAGTTGTGGAGCTTGGTCTATTCTGCAAGTTGAACATGCCTATTTCTTTAAACACTCCTCAAGTGGGTTGCCTTCCCACCCCTTTTTCATTTTGGTCACTCACCTTTCTCCCTGAAGTCTTTAAAATGCAGCCCTGCACAAAATAGTCTAAGTGAGACCCAGCCACAGTGCTGAGTGGAGTGGCACTCTTGCTTCTCATGTCTTGCACCTAATACTCCTGATGTAGCCCAAAAATACATTCACCTTTTGCAGCTGCCTCACCTTACTCTGTGCTAAGTCTGTTATCCACAAAACCCCAAGAGCTTTCTCCATAGGGCTGTCAACCCACAAGTTATTCATTCTGTATTTGTGCTTTTGAATATTATTCCCAAGGTGCAGCACCTTGCATTTGTCAGCACTGAACTTCATCTTGTCTGTAACACCACTTTCCATTCTGTCACGATCCCTCTGAAGTCTACTACTATCCTTCCATGATTTGTAATCCTTCCTAGTTTTGCATATTCTTGGCATTTGCTCAGGAAGCTCTCTATTCCAGTATTCAAATGATAAACACATTGAACAACACCAGGTCCAGGATGAACTCCTATGAAATTCCCACATGAAACCTGTGATCTAGTTGCCTATGTGACTTAGTGGCTGAGTTGCGTAGTTCAGCCTGTAGGCATGCTAGGTCCATAGCTCAGAACATCCAAACACAGCGCCCTATTTTACCGACTCAAAGTGTTGCAGTTCCCACTGCAATATTACACATGCAATATCTCCGGCAGAACAAGATTGCAGGTGAATCCACTTTTTCCTCTTTGTATTTTCTACGATGGTTGTTGTTGCATTACATTTCCAGATGTTTCTCTTGGGAACCACAGGTGTTAAAAATCCAGTCTGACAATTCATAATCTGCTTGCAGATATTCCATGTAATGTGTTTCTTTAAATATGTGAAAATATGAGGCAAGCTATTCCTTTTATGTGAAGCAGTGTTTACCATGAGAGAGTGCTTGTCATACACATTGTGATTGCTAAGAAGATGGGTGCTGTTACAGCTTTGAGCTAGAAGGGATAACGTTCTGGATGAACAACAAGTTACTATGAGGAAACTAAATTTGTGGCTCATATTATGTTTTATATGTAAGCATATGGCTGACTACATCTGCATACAAATTGTTTTGGTAAGATAAAACAGAGGCCCTAATCTTGTTCTCAGGAACTCAGACAGAAGCAACGGCAAACATCCAGCTCAGTTTCTGACATTCTGAAATCAGCAGCTCAAATTCGAGCAGAAAGAAGCCTGAGATATGGAATTAGAAGCAAGCCAAGCTTATGAACAGAAAACCACTTTCTGTGCTGGTGTGATAATTCCTTACACTCCTAATTCCCAATGGGATACTTAAAAAAAAAAAATTATCACGATCTTTAATCCATTTTAAACATATCACTGCCAATTTTTTTGGTTCAGGCTGCCTGCTACAATATTGATTCCCTGATGACACAAGTTAATTGCTATGCTTCTTTCCAGAATTTCTGTATTTATTACTTCATTGCTATAGAGACATTATATTACAGAAATCAATTTGTCTGTGAGCTTGAAGCCAAGGTAATAATTTGAGCAGGGAATGTGTAATACATTATTTTATGGTCATTCTGTAGTCTGTAACCCTAACTACTTTACAAGATGGTTTTGCTAGGCAATACACTCTCATTTAGATGCAAACTATTATTTTCTTAAATTCATTCTATTTCTAAAGGTACACAAATTAGGTGTATTATAGCTGGAGAAAGCCTATGCTTCAAGCCAAGTTCTGTCACAGCCAGTTCCCAGTTCTTAAGAACTAGATACATGAAAATCCTCACTGAAAACTAATAAAACAGACTTGCCCCAAAAGTACATTTTTTAATCTCAGACATTTGCAGATTAGTTTCTGCCCTGGATTTGGGGGGGGGTTATGTCCTTTATTGAAAAAAATATAGCTCTACCCAATATCAAGCTAGTACAACTGTAGACCTACATGTCTACTCCATAGAGTTCTGCTAAACAATGAAACATTATGAAATGGTTTGATTGATGGTATGATTTGATTGGCTCTGAGACATGCTATTTTCCATAATTCTACAACAATCATACTATTAGTAGCATCATGCTCCATTGTATTAATGTCCATGAAGGAATGAGAAAAAGTTACAGGATATTTTTACTTTAAATTGTTTCCTACACTTTTAAATAAAAGCAGATATCATCTGCCCTAAATATTTCTAGCCTCCTACCAGATTAGTCACCACCATAAGAA